AGACCTTTAGAGCCCATTACCACATGATAAGTTTTCATGAACCAGCATCAGTAAGGAAATTGAGGATGTTTTTGAGGGTTTTGTATGTGTTTTGTTTTTTGACGTAACAGTTTTCTTGTTTAATCAATCGTTTTTTCCCAATCCTTCTCCCTGTGTTTGGCTAACAGCAGCTCATTCACAGATCACATGTCACTGACACTCTGTACACCTCCTGTACTCAATACATCCTTTTAGAAATATTCGCTACACAACAGAGGAAGCAGAGACTTTGGGAAATGTAACAGAATTGTGCAGGATAGCAGCAGAACACTGATTCTGTGGTTACAAGACAGCGGTATCTTTTAATAGTGTTACATCTTTTCTTTTTGAGCTGAGATGCTTTATTACCCTCATTTCCTCAGTCTTGAAAGTTCAGGGTTTAGACATCTTTAAGTTAATTTTTTTCCTGTGCATTTCATAGTTACTATGGAACAACAGTAAGGTAAAACATTTGCAGAAACATCGCTGACATGTTTGATTGCTGGAAACAAAAGTTTAAACTATCAAACACTCTTAACACAGCGGATATAGAACCCAGTATATTCCTAGAGTTTGGTCAAATCTATTTCAATAGTTGTATTACCACATAAATAACTTAATTGTATGTAGCACGGAAAGCTAATCTGTGTAAACATTTCCCACAACATGATTTAATCAAATAAGAAGTAAATTCAATGTGTTGTGCACCTTTTTTTCTTTTTAAGGAATCTGAAGGCTTAAATCAATGGGTGAAACATGTACACGTTCATTGTACACACTTATTCAAAGCTGGGCTGTCCCTTATTGGGTTTATTTGACTGCGGGAGAACATTTAAAATTTAAATAAATGCTCTAAAAAAGAAAATAACGGAAAACACCCCCCCCCCCAAAGTTTAATCCGCATTAATTGCTTTTTGTTTTTTGCAAAACCACAAATCTGTCTATCACTTGTGGCAACCTTTTGTGGGCATGAATTCATCCTCCAGGCCTCCTGCATCTTGTTCTCTCTCCACAGCTTTCTGCAGTAACACAGCACCACCTGCAGGACCGCGTGGAGCATGAACGCCTCACGTTAGGAGCATGAACGCCTCACGTTAGGAGTGCTCTTAACATGGAAGACCTGATTTATCGGAGAGAAATATCAAAACTATTTTTAAGAATCTGCTTGGCTTAGAGGGAAATAGTTCATTTATAAAGGATAATTGTACAACAAAGTAAACAAAAAATCAAATCAAAGGCAGAAAGAAGGAAACTGGTCACATGCACAGA